CTTTCCTAAATTAGCCACGTCAGTCCTTTATGGTAGGTGTCACTCTTCAGCACTACCATTTGCAAATTCTAATGAAAACTCTATTCACGAAGAGATTTTAATTGGATCAAATGCAGATAATCATTTTTTTATGAAGCAGCCATCGTTATAAGTAGTTTCAAAATTACTAGTTACTTAGCAGAACTGAAGAGGCATGTGTGTGGGAGTTCATGTGCATGCATGGTAAGTACATTTGGGGTGTGTGTGTTACATATTTTCTCTTTAAGTGTGAAGAAAGCATCCAGCTGTTAGCCTGAGCACCCCAATTTTTAATAACTCAAGAAGTTCTTTCTTTTCTCTTGGAGTATGATTATCTCAGTTCTTCCCCTCCATATCTCATCTTGCTTTTTCAGTCCTGAGAATGACTATCGAGATTTTATGAAGTCTATTAATCTGAAAATCGCACTGGGAAATATTATGCAAGTACAAATGCTCCTGGGAGTGATGAGTCGCAGAGAAATGAAGTGATGAGCCCAAAGTCACACCGAAAATGGCAATATGTAGTACAGATACAGTCTGACCTGTGTTTAACTCTGCATTTTAAAAAATAGACTAAGTAGATGAAAGATACTTATAAATTTTAGAAATTATAAAGCATTTAACTTAAGAAGTTTACTCCTGACTCACAAATTCTGGTAGTTAAACTCCCCAATTTTTTTTCACAGTCATTTTAAATATTCAAAATGGACATTAATTATGATGGACAAATATTTAAATTCTTTCTCACCCTTTCTCTTTCTCTCTCTTTCTATACACACACACATCTATAGATACATGTACAAATAGGTAAATATGTATAAACCCACATACAAAAACACACACAGCATTCTATTTGAATATATAAATATAGTTCCGGTTATAACATTTTTCAATGACACAGTATTAGACAGCTACCTCAATCAAGTTTGTTTCTGTAGTTTTATATTGGTAAAGTCCTAATTAAACTCAATGATACTGGGTCATCGTCACCTAGAATCACCTTTTAAAGGTATATTATGCTTTGTCTATTCTGTTCACTGTAAAATGTCAGTTGCTAAAGTGCCAAAAGAATTTAATAGTTCCCCATATTTTAGTAGTAGAACCTGACCTAATATAGTTGATAAATATTAATTGTTAGAAATTGTCTATACCACCCACTGCACAGCAGTGAAAGAAATAATATAAGTCCAAACTGACAGACAATATGTTTTTTAGTTAACTTGATTTTGAAGAGCGTAACAAAATAGTAAATATTTGGAATCTATATACTTATATGATCATCTTTACTAACATTTTTCCAGTGGCTGCACTGTTAGCATATGGAATCATTAAGCTTTATATTTCAATTACTTAACTTTTAAAACACTTTGGATGGAGAATCTCTTTAGGGACTACTTCCTTCATTTTAAGTTTTCACCCATTTCAGTTCCTTAACATAAAAGACAAACTAAAAATGGTCTCTCTTGTCCTATATGTATATAGGCTAACAAGGTACCTCCTATTTTCAGGTGATAAATTCTAGAACTAGGTATTCAAAACTGTTTTCATTACAATCTTGAAGGAAATATTTGGTATGCAAAATAAAGCAATTTCATAATTTCTGTAATATTTTTAATGAGATAAAATTATGCAAAGTTCCATAAGCTATTTTCCATAGTAAATATTTGCAATTTTCTTCATTTTTAATTATACTTTACTAAATTTTAGGCAAAGCCATACTCTTTTGGTTTTAAGTTGTCTTTTCTGAGGACATATTGAGGACAGACAAATTAAATGATTCAATTCAACTAAGCACAGGATCCACTCAAAGTATGATGATTGAGATGTATGTATCTCTCCTACTTGTTCCATATATCATATTAATTATTCATAACTATCTACTCTATTTCTCTTTTATAGATATGAGCAATTTTTACTGCCTAAGTTATTAAAATATTGTCCCTCAATTTGTTAGCATGGTAGGTGCACATGGATTTTACAATGTTAAAACATACAAAGTATACAGCCTAAGTTATTTAATTTGAAAATTGCGTGCAGTACTTATGAGGTGGCTCCCAGATACCATGCTAAAAAGAAATGGTAATTTTAAAAAAATCTTCCTTTTAAAAGAAACAAAGTGAATATTTTAACTATATTTAGGTCATAATAACTGAATATAAAGTTAGATGGAAAGTGAAAATTTTAATTGAATGCAAATTTTTTTCAAGGCACTCTCTTAGAAAATTAGCCTTTAGTGCTAAGTTTTCTAGTTAAATATTTATGGCTTTTTTGAGTAGAATATGGCGTTTGGAATTCTAAAAAACCTACCCCACAAAATTGTGTTACAGACACGTTAATGAACTTCTATTTGCCAAAGTATTGATATGTAATGAAAAAAATCAGGCTAAAATTCAGCATACCTTTACTGTTCCTAAAAAATTGTAAACTTGGGCGAATCATTGCCATCTCTTGGCTTTATTTTGTAGATAAGTTCTCTCTAAACAACTATTTCTCAACAGGAGAAATTATACTCTGAGTGACTAAGAAGTAATCAGAAATTAGTGTTTTCCCTACTAACAATTTCTAAGGATTTGCTTTTCTTCATTTTGTACATCCATCTATAACTATAATATACCAAACATCTGGTTAAAAAGTGGAGTGTAGGCTGCCATGTTTATTTCTGTGTGTTTTTATTTCAAAACAAGTTAGTATTCATTTCAATGTAGCTTTATTGCACCCCCTCATATTCCGAAATAGAAGAGAAGGTGTGCGATAATGGTCTCAAATATATAAGCTGCCACTTTTCACATTTTAGGGCATGGTGAAATTGATCTACTTTGGTGGGGCTGTCATTTTGACTCAACAGTATATTATGTAATAAAATTCTTCATTGTTTAATACCTTAATAATACATTCATCCCCAACAATGCTAGGAAATTTGGTGACGTTAAACTTCACTCGGTATAACACATACAGTATCAGAATGGGTTTTCAAACACACATATTTTTATGGAATAAAACAACTTTCAGTTCTGTTATTACTATGGTAATACCTAGAATTTTTGAAGGAATCATATGCAGAATTTAAGGTCTCTGGAAAAGTTTTAGAACTTCTGGCCTCAAGTCCCAGTTCTTTAAGAATGTTTCTTCTTTCTTAGTGATTCTTAAAAATAAAAATCAGCATTCTATTCCAAAAGTCAAGAGTAAATGAACAAATGAACCTACATTTCCCTTTTTACTAACCTTAAGAGAATCACAAAATATAAGGAGACCCAGAATAAAACAGGATAAACTTGTGTTCCTGGTAGTCAAGCATATTGTATAAACATGGGCCTGCAATAAAAACATCAAACCTTGATAGACTTTTATAGAAAATCTTTTATTCTTTTTAATTTTTAAGGGCAATTGATTATACAGTTTTCTTTTGGGATTTATTATTTGGGATTATTTCTCTTATTTTCAATGATACACAAAAAAAGGAGAAAATGAACTCTGTGAAGAACAATTCAATAGTCCAAATTATACTGAGTTGAAGATTATTTCAAATTCAGTGCTTTATCTAAAAACATTTTCATTAGCATCTGCATTTAGGACTATGGAGAAATTGGAATATCGATTATCAAAGAGCAAATTATAGTTTTCAACTGTTATAACTAGCATTAGAAAGGGTACCGTCTTTAAATACTCATTAAAACTCTCTTTTGAAAAAGTAATCATCTAAAATCAGATACTAAAACAGCACACCGCCAGAATTTAACCTCTCTCTTCACTAGTTTATACCAGCCTCAAGACCTTAGAAGTTACAGCCTTGACACATAATCATCAACTTTACCAATAAAAGAACAATTTACATCCAGTATTACTTATGACAAGTTGGAAGTGTGTGATGCTTTTTCTACTCACTAATAAGTTTCTAGAAGTGATTTTTAAAATTAAATAATCAGAAACTGAGTCCAAACTTATTCTGATGAAACAAAAATAACAGAACACAAAATGTATGGCTTCGTTTGAAGCTGTTACAGAAAGGGAGAATATCCAGAACTCAAACTTTTCTGGTTTTGTTCATAAATATTTGCATGACTTAAATTAGTGTTAAGTTTAACAAGATTCCATACCATTTCTTTTGGGGATGACAGCAATCCTGACAGACAGTCTGTGTTATGACTGTCATCTTGTTATTGCTAAATCACCCACAACATTGTGACTGGATTTGAGTTACCAGGGACTAAGCCAAAATGTGGAATTGAAGTTTCATTCTGATTAAACACAAATAGTCAGCACTTAAAAAAAAAAGAGAGAGAGAAAACTTTGAAAAGTGATCAATGTTCCAATAATTAAAAAAAAAAAAAAAAGGACAAGAAGAAGTAGGAAGGAAGGAGAGGAGGAAGGGGAAGGGGAAAGGAAGAAGGCTTAAAATCCTGATACAATTACACAGTAGGCCTCTGACATTCTCTATGCTGGTATAATAACTGAACAGCAAGTAACATGGGTGTGAAATTCCCTGTTGCATGCTTTAATTAAAACCAAACATTTACAACAAAATCAACCCTTGGGAAAATTGCTCTTTGGTTTAAATCTTTGTTACCTCCTGGAATTTTGGTAAACTCACTTTATGTTTAAATTAAGCTGGCCCCTTTTTGTTTACTCCATTACAAAAGTCAAACACCAAGAACCAGACATAAATTTCAGAATGAAAAAGAGTTTTGTATGTACGTTTTTAAGTCCAACCCCTGTATACAAACTGTTAAAAAGCAGATGTTTTCACATAGTGCTTTATTACAACTTATCCTTGAATGAACTTCCTTCAAGTTTCAACCATTAAAAAAAAAAGCAGTCAATTTCCTGGTGGTTGTAATTTAATTAAGTAACCTTTCATACTGAGCAAAACCCAAAAGCAAAAGGGTCATTAATCTTTCTAGTAATTAGAGATACCTCTAGAGCTTCAAACATTTACCTCTCCTTCCCCGCAGTAGAAATGCTTTTAGGATGATCATGGTTCATACCTCACATTCCCTGGAGCCAGAGATGGTATATGTGCAGGGCCCAGATCCATTAACCGATATATCCATGGTCTCAGAGTTTGTAGGCTTGTAGTCCACATAATACTCCTGTAAAGGGGAATTCATTTGTCTTTCAGACTCTCTGGCCTTTTTCCGCCGTCTCTTCATAAGAGAGTGCTGCTGGAGTTGCTTCATGCTGGCTGGGTAGCGTTTCCAAGACACATAGATCACCAACAGGATCATGGCCACTGAGAGAAAGAGAGCCACGCTCCCCGCAATAATTTTGTGGAAGGAAACATGCTCATATTCTTGCTCTGTGCCAGGAATCTGAAACCCTGGTGAAGGGCTTGGTGTTTCAAGGGTGGGTTGGATGGCATCGGGCTTGAAGATGGTAGGCTTAAGGATGATCAGAGGCTTCTGGGGGGTTTGGGGCACCAAGTGTGATCTCTCTGTGTTGACCACTTGGACCTCAGAACAGATATTGTATGTTTCCACTGCATCACTGACCTTTTCACCTTGGATGTGCTTAGGTCCTGCACAGATCATGGTGCTCTCCTTATTTCCTTTGAAATTCTTAAGCCAATAATATAGAGGACAAATGCTCCGACTGCATTCCCACATATTTCCAGACAAGGTGATGGATATTAATGATATCCACGCATTGACAGTTTCCTGTGAGATGTTGGTGAGCTTGTTGGAATCCAAATTCAATTTTTGCAAATTGGGGAGGCATTTAAATGTGCCTGGCTCAATTCCTTGGATGTCATTCCCTGATAAATCCAAGTTGTGCAAGGAACTCCAAGTCCATGTCAAGCCTTGGCTAATGGAGCGAATCCTGTTCCACTGTAAGTATATCGAGCGGAGGTTGAAGAGACGTGGAAAATGAGCAAAGTTGATCTTGGAAAACTGGTTGTGCTCCAAGTGGAGCTCCTTTAACTTCAAGAGGCCAGCAAATGCATTTCGGGACAAGCTGCGAAGGCGATTATAACCCAAATCCAGAAAATCAAGATTCCGACAGTCTTGAAAAACTCTTATCGGCACAGTCTTTAGTGAGTTAGACCTCAAGTGCAAAATGATGAGTTTCCGAAGGCCTTTAAATTGTTCAGATTGTAATGTCTGAAGCTTATTGTAGGAGAGGTCCAGGTTGCGGAGATTGGGAACTGGGTGAAACGTTTTATTGTGCAGATAGGTAATTTTGTTGGAACTTAGGATTAATTCTTTCAGTCTACGGATCCCTTGAAATGCATCTTCATCCACTGAGCTGATGTAATTATGGTCAAGATAAAGCCATATAAGCTGGTTAAGGCCGGCAAACTGATTGGATTTCAGCTTCTGAATGCTGTTGAACCTTAATGATAAGCCTTGTGACCCTCCAGAAATGTTCTCAGGGATATCTGCGAAAGCATGAGACTCACAGTACACAATTTTACCATCACATCTGCAGTTCTTTGGGCAAGCTCTCTGAGCCCCCGTGAGCATAACAAGCAGCAGTGTAGGAAGTAGCACCAGCACCACACTCATGCCTTTCAGCTGCGTAATTAAATGGAAACCTACGATATTAAAAAGAAGACAGATGTACATTGTGAACCTATTAAAATAAATCACCTCCAGCTTACCCAATATCAGGGCATTCCATCTAGCGTAGGAATGGGACAGTTGATTTAAGGACAACACGGCTCTACCACGTGAACGTTATTTTCTTCAGTGCTGCATGTCTGCTCTTTAGGTTTCATTTTTTTCTTTCTTGCTCTTCAAATCACCACAGTGCCACACAACTCGGAAAAGCCTTTTCAAGTTACAGGAGTTCCTATGTAACTCAACACTGAAAAGCAAGGCAGCCTTTCTTATCACCGAAGGCTTGCATCTAATAAGAATAACATTTTGCTAATCACTGTGTTAAACAATAGGACCAAGGGACACCTATATCTTCTGGTAAGGGCAAAAAGTGACCTGTAAACCTGGTACTTGTATGTCTTTCCTAGGTGAGCAAACAGACTGTGATTTGACAAAAGAGCTTCAGTAAGCTGTCAGGGTAACCCAAGTTTGCCGTGCCTGCAATTATGTACTTATTGCATAATGGGATAGCAAAATATGAGCTCAGAAAAATGGCATTGAGACTACTATAGGCAGCCAATAAAGCATAGTATGAAGACTAATAACAGTGTAAGGTATTCTCAGTTTGTTAATAAGTATATATTGTTGCATTCTGTGGCTCCGTGCCCGGTGAAACAGGAGCTAAGACATCTAACTACTCATCACAGAGAATACTCCAAAATTAAGACGTCAATTTGTTATTAAATATTTACATAAATGCAAAATAACTTTGCTGTTATTTTAAATATAGTTGCCTTTGCAAAATTGAGGGCTAAACAAGGAGAGAAACAGCAGGATACTATCCTTCTCCCCACCATCCGACCTGCTCAAATTTCAAACTGACTTTTTTCCTCCCCTTCCTCCATTAACTTTAGAAAGCCTGCGAAGTTGAAATCTATTGGCATTTCTGCTGCATTTCCAAGTCACTGCATGTTAAGGGACCTCTTTCCTCTGTCAACAGTAGATTTATTATTTCTTAATGGTAGGGAGGGGACTACCATGTGCTGCAATTTCTTTTTTTCCTCAGATTTACATATTTTTAACCAAAAGATAACCAGCCAAACCCCTAATCTAAAAACCCTCATTTTCAGTTAAGTTTTTGTTTGTTTGTTTTTTCTTTTTTATATATAATTTAAAGCCCGATCTTGCTCTCTGTCCTCTTGCCAGCTACAGACTCATTGAAATACATTCCAGCTCTCCCAGACAGGAGAAGGGGGGGAGAGAGACAGTCACACTTGAAAAAATAAGACTGGCAAATGACTGCTGGAAATTTAGAAGCTGTGTTAGGATCCAGCCTCAAAGCTAAAAGCCCTTGAGGAACCCCTGCTAAAGTAAGGACCCCACCCCTACACACACGCAGTCAAGTGTCAACAGTCATCCTGACAGCAAGCAGAAATACAAGCATGTGTAATATTACCAGGAAATAGAAGCAAACAATATTTATTTCATGTTCAATTCCCAAGCTGTGGCTACGCAGACGGTAGAGACAGTCTTAAAGAGATTTCTCTAGAGTCTGTTTAAGTCCGTGTTATGCATTTATGGATTAAAAAAAAAATGCTGTAAAAAGGAAAATGATCTAAAAATATATAATAGCAACTATAGTGAGTCAACTGGCAAACTCAAAGACTGCTGCTTTTTGCTTCTTTCCCGTTTTTTTTTTCTTTTCTTTTTTTTTTCTTTTTATCAGCTAATGCCACGACTGAGCATAGGAAGCCAAGACAGATCAGCTTTGCTAAGAAGGAAACAACAAAAGTTCACTTACCCATCCTTTGTCATCCAAAAACGTTTCCCCCCTCTCTCAGCTTGCTTCTTATTTGGTCTCCCGTGCTGAAACCACCACCACGTTCATGACACAGTGCGGCTGTCATTCACACCATTCTGATCCCGCATGTGAGCTAGTAGCCCCATACAAACTTCCCCGGAGAGGACGGGCAAAAAAATATATATACATATACACATATGTATTTAAAAAAAATCAGCACGGGGTGGGATGGGGGGGCACGGAAAAGGAAGCTATTGGGGGGCTGGGGGGAGAGGGCCTCTAGGCTCTGAGGACCATTGTGTAATTCACCAGAGACCCATCAGCAGTAATTGGCAATCTGTGCAAAAGAGCTACAGCCCATCTCGGAGGTAACCAACTTCTCTGTAAAAAGACAGGAAAAAAAGAAAATCTTTCAGAATACCTGACATTCCTTATTGTGCTGGCTTTTGCCATTCCCAGATAAAGCAATTCATCCTCTGGATTTTCAGTTCTTGAAGCAAGTAGGCCTCCTGTGCTGTATAAGACCCCAGTTTAAAAGCTATGCAGGCTAGGTTTATCCATTTAGCTGGTCAGGTTTAAAGTGTTTTGTAGCTGTGCTGAGAGGCAGCCCTTGTCTAATTCAGAAGGCTTTCCAGAGACTGATGATGCTCAGAGCTTGTTGGTGCTAATGCTTGAGTTTGTGATACACTGAGTGCCCTCCGCTGGAGAAAACAGATTGCACATTAAAGACGGGAACAAGTGAGCCTGTCAGTGGTGTGCAGCCTTCCCTTGCTCAGAAAGGGAAATTAAAGGCACAGAATCGCTTTTTTCTCCTCTCTTCAATAATATATATTATGAAAGGTTTATGCCAAGGAATTCCTTTTAATGAGAGCAAATATTAAGTCAAATTTTGCTTCTCCAAGTGTTATACAATTAATAGTTTCTACAAGTTGCCTTGACCTAATTTTATTTTCTGCATACAAGACAGGAGATTTATCATCTTTTTTTTCAATGCCAGAAATCTTTGAAATATGACTTTTATTTATTCTTCCTGTTGGTTTATTTTATTTATTTACATTTTTTAGCTAACTATATAGGAAAGCGATCTTCCTCAAGGGAAAAAATGTAATTAGATTTTAAAGAGAGTTACATTTAAAATGTTTAAGTCTACTCTTTAAATCCTCAACCTTTGACAATAAAATACATTCTGCAATTTTGTGCGTTTTATTGAACAGTCTAGAGAGCGTAAGTTTCTAAAAGTTTACATTTTTAGCCTTAAAGCTGCTATCATCTATACTGAATTACCAAATGTAAAGATAACTAAAAGACTAGAATTCCATCTTGACATTCTTAGTACACTCTCCTTAAATTCATCTACATTTAGAATGCAAATTATTTCTTATGCAAACCACTTATTGTAATGTGCAATTTCAGAAAAACAAAAGCAGTTGAATATGGGATTAGTTATCACAGTATTTCTCTAAAATTTGCACAATATCCTCAGAATTAGGAGGGGTGAAATGACAAAATCCTTGGGATGTGTAATTTTTAAAACCTACACATTGACCTTAAATTTTTGCTAAATACTGAGAAAAAGGTGTAATACATCACCTTAATTTTGTCCCTGACTTTTTTTCTAGTTTATCTCTTAATCCTTTAGCAGATAACAATTTTTGGAATAATCCAGCAGAATAAACCAATATTCTAGAGAAAGCTGCTAGGTAAGATTGCTAACCTAATTTAGCAGATATGAGAAGTTTAAGTGAATTTTACATAAGCATTTAAAATCATTTTGGATCATTGCAAATTAATATATTTTAAAATATTCCTTATTGTATGCTATTTGCCGAAACATAATAATTCAGGGGGTTTATCACATGAATAACATATATAATTTGACTCAGATCTGTAAGTAGTCAGTACATACCCCAGCTATAGCCATTTCCCATTAACTGATATCTGGATTTCTATTTTAGAAATGTGTGCCTTTGGCTTAAGGATTAATACCTATTAAAATGCAAATGCACACCCGAAGAGGCAATATTATTGTGGTTGTTGAAAGGAAATGCATCAATAGAAATGATGCACCTACAATTTGTTCATACTGGTAGAGTTTAAATAGAAACACAAAGCCCGCCTAGATATTCAATGATAGAAAATTAGTTAAGGAACAATTTATTGATATATTCATGAGATAGAACATATACTGCTATTAGAATTAAAATAAAAGTTTGTATTTGCTGATAGGAAATTAGACCACCACGTATAAAGGGAAAAAGGTAGGGGCAGGGAAGTCAGGGACTTGAGGACCATGAAAGAGTCTATTTCTTTACATATTTTTATTTGCATGAGAGCAGAATAAAATATTCTTAGCAGATTTTCCTGGAGGATGGATGTTGGATACATTTGCTTTTATCTTTTATGTTGGAATTTTTCTGTGTTTTTTAATTTGAAAATATGATAAGTATGTCATGTGTGGGATGTCTATGTATATAAATTTTCCTTTTTTTGAATCTAAAATATAAGATCAGGTTTCAATAGTAGATTGGGAACTTCATAGGGTATTACCCACATTTATACTGTAATAATTGACTCTAACAGATGCTACATCCTAAAGTGGGTACTAGATTATGTGCAGACTTTACAAAGAAGGTGTCTAAAAAAAGTGATAGATGCTTCAAACACTCTATGAAGATATAAAAGGTGAAGAGTTATGTGACTAAGGATGATATATGGAAGATTATTATTATTTTTTAAAAAACTGTTAGTATGCTGGTATCATTGAAACCCTTAAAACTTAAGGGTTTAAAACCCTTTAAAACCATTAAAACCCTTAAAAACTAATGAAGGGGTACAAGTGAGAACTAGGTTAAGGGCCCCCAAAACTCTGTAAAGGAACAAGTTTATCTAAAATAGTGATAATAATCAGCCACTTTAACCTTGTTTTCTTGATCATAGACTCTATCCCCTTGTTTGCTTCTCTATAATTATTACTCTAGAGGGAACAGGTCATAGACATTAAGATTTTTTTACTTTTCTTCATAAGTAACATCAACTACTTGAAACCTGGATGTAGTTTTTGATATATCTTCCAGATCATGCATTTCAGTGGATTGACTGACCCACACAGACCAAAAAACTGGTCTTGGACCCCCACTCAAAAAACTGTGCCCACCCTGATAGCAGCTCATACAAAGGACTGATGGTTCCACCCTGAAACCAACCAATAGGAGACCCTGATTGCTTAACTCTTTGCCCACCAAACTGTCTTTAAAACCCTGTCCTTCCAAATCTGCAGGAGGCATATTTGAGAAATCTGTCCCCTTCTCCCTGCTTAGCATTTGCTTTGCAGAATAAACACTTTCTTTGCTGTAAACTCTGTCTCCGGACATTGGTTTTCTCTTGGGCAGAGGGCAAATGAACTTGGCTGGGCAGCAACATCACACACACACACACACACACACACACACACACACCCTTCACTCATAGGTTTACAAATGGTTTTTCAACTTCTCGGTTTAAGCTTAATGAAAGGGACCTCAGACCCCTCAAAGAACTTGATAGATATTCTAACAGTGAGCCAGCATGATGGGGTGGTATTTGATTGTTGATAGAACATCCAAAGGAAAAATGATGGGTTTTCCAAAACAAAGGAAAATAGTGTTGGAACTGGATTTCACTTTCAGAGTTTATCTGGATAAAAATATGGATGTATGTTTTCCATGGAAGAGAGAGAGGATAAGTAAGAGAAAGAGACAGCTTCCAGCCATACTAAGTCCTGATGAAACACCTGCAGAAGAAAGAGTATGTTGGGGTTTATTAAAATTATATATATATATAATTTTGTATATATAAATATACATATATACATATATATTACATATATATATATATATGAAAAAAGTCCATTATTACTAATGGGGCTATTAGGGGTCTATCAATGCATTCATGACAAAAAGAAATATATATTTTTTAATTTCAATTTATTGTGAGGGTACAAACAACAGGTCACAGTTTTTTAATTTGTTAGGTAGAGTCCTTCTCGTAGTGATGTCCCATACTCCAAAGGCATATTATATACCCATATCTTGTGCCCTTTAAGTGGGAGCACCTGAATCCCTCCCTGCTTCCTCCCTCATTCCTGCTCCCTCCCTTTTTCTCCTCCCCCCAACTTAGATAAAGTTTTTCTTCTATGTGGGCATGTGTTAGACTGTCTACTGGCTTCCTAATAAAATTGAGTACATTGGATACTTACTTTTCCTTTCTTGTGATACTTTATTAATAAGAATGTGTTTCAATTCTATCCAAGTTAATACAAAAGATGTAAAGTCTCCATCTTTTCTTATAGTTGAATAGTATTCCATGATATACAGATATCAAAGACTGTTAATCCAGTCCTGAACTGATGGGATTTTAAGTGATATTTCCACATCTTAGCTATTAAAAATTAAGATATAATGAATATTCTAGTGCAAATGTCTTTATGATAAAATAATTTTTATTTTCTTTTGGATCAATGCCTAGTAGTGGGATTACAGAGTCAAATGGGAGATCTAATTTGAGTTTTTCAGAGATTCTCCATACTTCTTTCCAAACAGGTGGAATTACCTTACAGTCTTACCAACAATGTAAAAGTGTCACTCTCTCCACACCAATGCCTGCCTCTGCAACTAGTGGTTTTGATTTGCATTTCTATGATGTTTAGGGACAATGAGCATTTGTTTATATGTTTATTAATCATTCATCTGTCTTCCTCAGAGAAGGCTTAGTTCATGTCTCTTACTCAGTGACAGATGGGATCGTTTGCTCTTTTTTGTTGATTAATTGAGTTCTCTATAGATCATAGTTATCAAGTCTTTGTCATATTGATCACATGAAATAACTTTTTTCATTCTGAACGTTGTCTATTTGCTTTAATCGTTGTGTCCTGAGCTGTGTAGAAGCTTTTCATTTTAATTAAGTCTCATTTGTTTATGTTATTTAATCATTTTTGTTATTGTTGCAATTGCTGCTGAAGTCTTCTTCATAAAATCTTTCCCTAGGCTGACATCTTCAGGAGTTTTTCCCACATTTTCTTCTAGGATTTTTATCATTTTGTTTTGTCTTATATTTAAATCTTTTCCCATCTTGAGTCAATTTTTGTAAGTGGTGAAAAGTGCAGGTCCAATTTTGGTCTTTTACTTGTGGTTGTCCAGTTCTTCAAGCACCATTTATTGAATAGGGGTTCTTTTCTCCATTGTATGCATTTATTTGATTTATCAAAGATCAAAGAGATTGATTTCATCTCTTGGTTTTCTATCTGGTTCCACATGTCTATGTCTCTATTTTTGTACCAAAATCAAACTGTTTTGATCTTTGTGACTTGTAATATAACCTGAAGTCTGGTGGAGTGTTGCCTTTGGCTATGAGTTTATTCCTAATAGCAGCCTTGGCTATACAGATTTTTTTTCTGATTTCATACAAAAAGAAATACTATTTTTTCCATTTATTCAAAGTATGACGTTGGTATTTTAATGGGATTTGCATTGAATCTGTAGATTGCTTTGGGTAGTGCAGACATTTTAACAATATTGATTCTTCACAGCCAAGAAAATGATATGTTCTTCCATTTGTCAATGTCTTCTACTATTTCTTTTCTTAGGGTTTTGTAATTGTTTGTAGAGGTCCTTCACATCTTTTGTTAGGTATATTCCTAGGTATTTCATTGTTTTTGAAGGGAATTGTATCTTTGATTAGCTTCTCGACTTAACTGCTATTGGCATATACA